ATGTCAAGTTGGGTACCTGCATTGCGAAAAGAGCTGTTGCTGCGATTCCGATCCAGCTGTGTATGGAGTAGAGGTTGGGTGTCTTTTGGGCGTTGTGGAAGTCAAACACAGCACAGAGCCCCACGATCGACAGCACCAGGGCGAGGAGCATCAGTGCCGCATGAAGGAGCTTCCACGGGAGTTTATTCTGACCCCAGGTCAGAGGGATGCGGTACAACACAGCTCCTGCAGTGAAGAGGCAAAACAACTGAAGATGGTCTTAATTAAATGTGGTGGCCACATTAAATTGTGCTGTTGTTTAATAACAGCTGGTGCACCAGATGCATCAACACAGGGGAGGTTCAGGAAGTGCTCGGTGTCATATTCTGTCTTGGCTCAAAACTTGGGTTCCTTATACCAAAACTTTAAAGACCTGGTCACAAAACGAAAAAAAAAACCCCACTTAAGGCTGCCTCCAAAAGTGAGTCAATCCCCACAGGCTCCAGTTGACTCCAGTAGAATTTCTCTGATGTGGACAGTAAAATTCTACATTTTATAAATTCTACATTTTATAAATTCTACATTATTATTGCTCTGTCACTAATTAGCAGGTGTCCTGTGCGATTCACCTGTACATGCTGTGGATATAGCAACCAAGCTTACCTGCATTAAGTGATAGTTAAGCACGCCACGTGTCATGAGTGCAACTTACGCTCACGAGGTGAAAGTGATGCCAACCACATTACCACAGCTCTTAAACGAGGATTCATGACTATTGTTTTTGTCACTTCTGCTTTCCCTACACTGTTAAACCTCTTTTTCAATTTCATTGTCACAACTTTGATTTGATGACCTTCTTGCCAGGTTCCCAGAAGCCAATAAGTCTCTTTGATTTTTGTTCTTTACATTTTAAAAAAGGCAGGAACCTGCCAGAGGAGGTTTGGAACTCAGTTACTGACTAAGCAGAGCTTTGGTGACTTTTATGGGCCTCAGAACTTGACAAACCTGTTCTGTAACAGTTTTCTATTTTTGTTAAACAGACACGTGATAAGTGAAACTGCTATAAGACATATGACCACAGACTACAACAGGAAAAACAAGAAAGTCCTTATACTTGAAATGGCTGGATGTGCTTAAATCCCACAGGCTCCATAGTTTACTGGTTAACACATTTGCCTAACATGTCAGGGAAAAGATTCAAATCCTTGGTAGGGTTGCATCAGGAAGGACATTCAGTGTGAAATTAGTGCCAAATCAAACGTGATGTGGCAATACCTTGTGAATAAAGAAAGAAAAAAAAAAACAAAACGCAAAAAAACACAAAGTCTAACCTCAAGGTACCCACAAAAGAAGTGAAATTTCAGGAACTTCCACAGTGGCTTCATTATTTCAGTGCTGTTTGGGAAATTCCCATTTGTAATGGGTGAGAAGTTTTGTTGTTGTTGTTGATAATGTTAATATAATTAAATATTTTTTTCAGGTTATCAAAAGAAAAAAAAATATTGAAATTGCTTCTTACCCAAAAGCCATTATAATATAGCGTATTACATCAAAGTAACAACTGACAAAAAAAAGTACTACAGTTTACTGCAGCAGTGTAATGGAGCTGTGGCCAAACAGTCACTGCAGACGTTACCTCATGTTACCTCGCTACTGAAATCATGCCTAAAATTATACACTACATCTATACCAAGCCTAAGATGTGTAATTACCCTGATACAGCCTGACTGCTTGGAGGAGGAAGAGAACTGAGAAACAGAAATGAAACTCATGAGCTTTATTTGGAAGGCCACCCACCGTTGCCATACACCACCACCAGACCCGTCACCATCAAGACGGGGTGCCAGTTGAACTGAAGCGACGAGCCGTCCCAAGCAAAACCGCCGCGCCACTTGCTGTTCCAGAGGCACACGCACACCACGCAGGCCACACCCAGGCCGAAGCACAGCAGGTAGAATCCATAGAAGATCACGGTGGGTCTCATCCTGAAGAGACCTGCAGGCTAAATTAGCAAAAAGAACTCAATGAGAAGGAAGGGCAGAGAACTGTTTCTGCATTCAGGTAATGCCCAGTTAGCTCTAATTTGGTTATTTGAAGACATAAATTTGTCTTTTTGATCTTCTTTTGATCTTTGACTTGACTTTTTGATCTTTCTTGATTATTTAAAGATCAAAAAGACAATATTAAACCTGGGCTACTTTTGAATAATCACCATTTACACGACTGCTAAACGACTTTGATTTCAGAAACACAAAGCTCTAAGTCAGCTACCTAGTAAACTTCAGAAACACGCTTCAGTGCGGCAAGCCTTACCTGATCCACAGCTGCAGTGACACTGACAACACTTCCTACTCTACAGCCGTGAACATCATGTAGGAGTTATTTAACTGTCTCATGACTTCCCCCTGTCAATCTCTGAATGTCACTCACTTCGCGTTTCTGCGGTTCAGCCGAAGTCTCACTTCCACATGCAGCTGTATTGAGGGTACCGAGGGGGAAGCAGTCAGAGGTGGAGCAGCTGGGAGATGAAGGGCCACACTGCTGCATCTGCCACCTGTTTGAACAAGGCGGTTAGAGACAGATCAGATAGAGACGAGTGTGACACGCACAAAAAAGTCAGTGTCCTGTCATAAAGAAAGAAGAAAATGGTGAATTTATGGAGTAAAAGTAATCTTTTGGAGGTGTTAAGTGTCATAAAATGCCAATGGAGACAGGTAGCCGTTTTCTGGGGACACAAAATGAAAAGAGGATATGCAGGTGACAAATTAAGAGGAAAAAAACAACATAAAGCAGTATCGAAGGACCTTAGGATTGTGGTTGGTTCTACAACTTACTGCAAGTCTTAATTTTATTCAGGCATTCAGCGACCCCTCCTGCCCTGTGCGTGGGAGCCCTGCTATATGCTCAGGTACAAATGTTTCATCATAGGAGTAGCTCTGTATTAATATGTAGAGACCCTTGCCCCTGAGTACGACAAGTGGACGCTAACAAAGGCCACCAGAAGCCTTGTAAATGTACAGTTCAAAGGCCTAGTTTTTCCTTCAAATTTTCACTTTTCAGTTCCTTATTTACCTCGTACAAGCTCTTGATAAATAGATTCCTGCTTGTCCGCCAACACGTTTTTGTGTATCCCGAATTAACGAGTATCTTTACCACATTCGTGAAAAGTCGTATTTATGCGACAGTACGTCTTGTCTGTTCTCTTTAAGCGAGGCGACGTTAAAAAGCATATTTTCCAAATGAAGTCTTGTGTAAGAAGTTACGTATCCCCATTAGCATGCGCAGAGAGTTCGAAACTTTACGCGTTGAAGAAACATTTAGTTGTGTAGTTCGGTTAGCAAATATCTCGTGCCTAAGAAGACAATTCGGACGTAGGAGATTACGTCACCAGTAAACGCAACGTTTATTACAGGTGAATGGCCTTCACTTTAGGAAGAGATACTTACCTGATCCATTTCCGTGTTTCTAACGCATGGCCTTGTGGGAAATGTGGTTTCTTGGCTACCACCCCGTCACTCCTACCCTGTTCACGATCACCAAGTCATTACACAAAAATAATTCCAAGGACTGCGAAGTATTACATTGACCTTCTTCTTATTTTCTTCTTCTCGGACACGCCAGTATTAAAATAATATTTACAAAAATGTTTATTGATCTTGATGAAACCCATGAGATAAAAAAACAAAAACAAATGTGAACACACACGTGTCTCTTTTACTATCCTCATGGGGACATCCCATTGACATAATGCTTTCCCTAGCCACTTACCCTAACCCTAACCATCGAAAATGATTGCCTAATCCCAACCCTTACCCTAACCATAACCCAACTGTAACCCTAAAACCACATTTTCAGTGTGGAAAATGCTTTTAACCCAGTGGGGACCAAACTCCAGGTCCCCACGGGGTTAAAAGCATTTTGGTTCCCACCAGTATAAGTCAGTTTCAGATTTTGGTCCCCGCCAAGATAGTAAGAACCCGTACGCACACACACATCGATGCAAGCACACACACGCACACACACACACACACACACACACACACACACACACATTAGTAAAACAATTAAAGACCAATAGGACTGTAGGAAAAATACTACAATAACAAATAGTATAGTATTGTATAAAGTTGTGGCTGATGGAGTTTTCACTTGCCTTGCAGGATGTGTGAAAATGTGAAAGAAAAAATGGTCCCTGTTGAAGGAGGTCAGCAGCTGCTTCAGAGATCTGCTGCCTGCCAGCTCCACCTGGAGGCAATGTTAGTCAGTATTTTATTTGTTCTCCTATGCAACCATCTTTTCTATACAACTGAGAGGCCTTCTGTGACAGAGGTAGAATGTACAAAAAGATCATTTGGTAATCTAAGTAACTATGCATGTAATAACACTGATCAAGGTAGTTTAGCTATACATACATTACAAATTCCCATGTAATAATTACACACTGTCTATAGATAGATGAAACTTCCATCTGCAGACAGTCTAAAAAGTCTTTAGAAAAGTTAAGTACAGAATTCCCTTAAACCTGTATTTCTTCTAATGGTCAGAAGAGGGTGATATGCCTGGTTACAAAAGATTCTGGTGGCTAAGAGGTCTATGGGAAAAAGTCACAAACACTACTTCAGAAAACACTTCTCTGACAGGTCTTTGTTCTCAGTTGTTAGTTCAAATCTTATTTAAATTTTTTTCCCCCATTTTGTACATTGATTCCAATGCATTGCAATGGAATCACAAAGGAGGACAAGCAGGATATGATAGAACTTTCAGTAACTTGTAACTGACAAGTCGTTACCCTATGACAGTACAGTATGTCTCAGGTTCTCAGTTATAGTTACCCTTTGCCTAGTTTCAAAACAC